CTGATGAAGCAGTTCCAGTTATAAAATCCCTTGATTTTGCACACAGCAGTTTCCAGTGGCCATCATGGTATTAGGCACTGGAACAGGTGTAAAATGTCTGATATGGTCTCCCCATCTGCCACTGCAGAATTTGGAATAAGGTGAACTGCTTGAGTAAAGCTGTGAAAAATGTGTGTGAAGGAACATATGCAGCCAAAATGCTCTCCTCCTAAATGTATACATTTCTCTGGTTGACAGCTGTGCATACATGGCTTCTACAGTCCTGTAAGATAGTTTCAGGAAAGCTGGAAATGCAATTTTTAATGAAAATAATCTGCTGGCTCAATATAGGCATGCATTATCCATGCCTTTGCTGTACTGCTGGGGAGGTTTGATAATAGGGCAGTGTTTGATTACTTGTGCTCTTTTCCATTCCTGTGCCACACATTTATTTTTGCTGCTATTTGAAGTGCCTGAAATTACTCACTGGTAAGTATTATTAAGGAACAATGCTTAGCATTTTAGATTCTGCTTGCAAATAGTGCGATGTCCATCTATTCTTTGAGCAATTAATTTGTGGGACTTCTTGGTTCCTCTGGAACATGCTCCTTCTGCAGCATGAGTAGGTCAGCCTTAAAAACACATGGAAACTCAAAAGAGGGCCAGGTTGTGTGTACTTCAGCATTGCTTCAGCACTGCTGCAGAGCTGTTGTGGATGCACTGGGAGCACTCAGATTTTGGAGAAAAAAATGTGTCTCCAGCTTGCTTGTTTCAGAGGTAGGGAAGCACCCTGGGACAGAAAAAGGACTCACTCAGAAGCCACCTGCCTGTCATCCTTTAGGAATGAAGGAAATCCTCCTGCAGCTCTCACAGTGCAGCAGTACTGCTCTGGAAGCTAGGTGCCACATGGGTTAAGCCATATAACTGTACACACTATAAAAATGAACAAAACTACTTTTCAGTGCTTTGAAAATGGTTTGTCAGTGCCCATAGTGCACAGTATCTGTCTAGTGGTGAGAAATGGTGCTTGCCATTACACAGGCTGTTCCAGAATTGCTTAGTGATTTACAGCACCACCTTCCCTGGCCCTTTTATTTAAGGAACAGTTCTACCCTGGGGTTTATTTAATTCCTGTATCTCCCAAACCTGAGGTGGATAAGCCTTTCTACCAAAGGGATATTTTTTTATATAAAAAAAATGTTAACAGTTTTATGTTTATCCTAGTTCTGTGAACATTTGTATACTGGCACAATAGAAAGCTTAATAGCTGAAGAGTGATGCAGGAGCTGGAAGGAGAGCTTAAGGGTGGAACTCTCATAAACCAGTTCTGTCACAGAAGGAAACACCACACACCTAACACGTGGCATGAGCAGAGAAGCAGTGTCATGATTATCACCTCTTTGATCAGTCTCTCTTAACTTTCAAGTGGATTAGTGGGTAATTCTAAGTACTCTAAGAGTACTCAGGACAACTGGCTTACTTGTACTCAAATGCCTAAGAAAGAATCAGTCAGCCTGCCTTTCAGAATTCTGTTCTTCCAAATATGATCAATAATTTTCAAGAGTTTTAGAGGTGCAGAGGAGCAGAGCTGTGGTGCAATAGAAGTTATATTTTAGGTGGAGAATTGTCAAAGATGCCAGTGCCCCTGATGCATATACTACCTGTGGGCTTTTGGTAGGAGGTAAGCCTGCCTGTGCTTTTGGAAAATCATTCAGTTGATAGTAGAACTGACCTAAATACTCATGAGAAGTAATTCACTCTCCATTTTTGACCTGTTGGCAGTTTGTGATCATCTCAACAAGTATTAACATATCAACATACGTATCTCTGGAGACATGAATTATTTATACAGGTGTTCAAAAGGTTAGAAAAGCAATTTTCTTTTGGGGAGGTATGACTGGCCACATGGTTGACATGGTATTCTCTCATTCCTGATTGTGTTAGCATTTTAATTGCTTATTTCATCTGATCCTAATTTTGATTCTTGATGAGGTCTCACTGATAGTAATTCTCACTGAACATTCATCCCTAAAAAGGTTCATTTATGTGAGATCTTGTGAATAAAGAGGTATATATCAGTCAAGTGTCCATCTGGATTTGTTATTCGGGCTGCTAGCTGATAAAGGCTTATGTATTTTGATCAGTTTCAGTCATGATTGAGATGGAGACTTCAAATCAACTACCTCCTAGCAAATAATACAGGTATGAATTCAGTATGAAGGCAACTTCAGTATCATCACCCATTTTCATTGCTGTGGTACAGTGTATATCCATTTCCTCTGCTGATCAGGTAGAAAAGTTACTGAGGAGAGGTGTTATGCACATTATTTTGAAAAACAATATGTGACTCATTCCCCAAATATATCCACTGCATGCCTTGATAGTTTTAAGCCAGAAGATGAGCTAAGCAGCAGCAAACATCAACAGCAAATCAGCAAACTGGTTTCTGATGAAAAATGCAGGGGGCTGCAAAGTCCAAGGATGGAATGACAACCATATATCCTAAGAAGCAACTTCTTAGTTCCTGTAAAGTGGTGCATTATGACACTCGGGCAGAGTTTTGAACTATCAGAAAGTGACTGGGGAGATCAGTAGGGTGATGGACAGCACTGGAAAAGGAAGCTACAATTGCTTACTGCCTCTGCTTCTTGGGAACAAGAAGAAAATGCCTGTATATGTGTTCATACACAGGGGTGTGGGTTTGTGGTGCTTCAGTCAGCTCAGGGCAGTGGAGATACAGACAGGATAACTGAAAGCAGTTGTATGGGGAAGGTTAATGCATGTTGGTCTAACACAAATATTCATCACATGAGCACCAACTTGGCCCAGCTTGCCATGCTACTGTGTCTGTTGAGGGGGTTTAATAAGGTGCACAACCAGTATGTCCTTCCAGACATTTCCTTGAACTAGTTGAATGGTGAACAAAGAACAAGCTACTGTGGAGACTCTACACTGCAGCTATTGGGGTGTTTCATGGGGAACCTTGACAAAACTGTCTCCCTGCCTCTCTTTCTGAGATGTCAGCATGCAATGCTAAAACACTAGGAACATAAAAAAACCCCAAACCAAAACAAAAAAACCCACCATTTTTGGATCTCTAAAGGAATAAATGAGCAGGTAAGTGTTCAGACAAGGCTCTCAAATAAAAATAATTATCATTAAGCAGACTGTGAATGTTTACTTGATTAAAATCTTTTGCTGGTGGAATAAAAGGTTTGTTGTTTTTAACCTGGCAGAAAATTTATAAAATTACTGTAAAAAGACTTCCCAGGAAAAGGAGGAAAAGCAAATAATTCTTGGGAAACTATTTTGAGTTTATTACCAAACAATGTAAAGTCTAAATTAAAAGTTGCCCTTCCACTGACTTATATTAAGGCTGATACTGATTATGCACTTACAAAGAAACAAAATATTTCAGTATGGAAAGTAATTTTGAAGGTATTTGGCCATTTCAATGCCTTAAATAAGGTCTTTTTTCTGGAGGCAATAAGTAGAAATTATAAATTACTATAAACATTGGGCTGAGAGCTCCTCTTGTGCCGGGCTCTTGTGAGCCCACGAGTGCTCTAGACTGACTGTGTGCTTTTTTCAGTGCCTGACAACTGCCACCTCAGATATGTTGAGATATATTACATTTATGTATACACAATTGATTAAAATCTCTGCAGTTCAGAATAAACTGAAATCTTTCCCAACATTTTCTAAGGCTCAAAAGTTACCTTGTCCTCTTTGGTTTAGAATTTTTTATTTGTGTTACAATGCTACTAAACATTTTATATGCTATTATTCCATTGTTTTGACACTGTGAAAATTTTTTTATTTGTCAAATCTAGGCAACTGAAGACTAATAGAATTCTCTTGAAAATTGATGCTATGAGATTCTGAAGACTTTAACTTCTTTTCAGTCCACAACAAAATCTTATATAATGAATTTCTGCAGAATGAAAACTGTATTTACTGGACTGCTCAGAAATTTTATTTCCTTGATTGGGATTTGCTACAAGCAATCAAAACATTGCTTTTATTAATGACATAAATGCAAGAAAATTATTTTTGTTAATCATGGATCAGCTTTTTTCTCTGTTTATTTAAAACTTCAAACTATCCATCAAATGCTAAAATTGTTCTTTGTCTTCAGTAAACTGAAACAAAATACTGTACTTGGGGAAATCTGTTAATCCTTTCTAGAAGCTCATACTTTAGAGGGAAGTATTATTACAAAAAAAGAGAAAGATTGCTTGACGCAGTGCAACAGTTGCACAGTTGTGAAAAATGGAAATTCTATGAACATTATTTTGTTTGAAGATTATTTAAATATAATTCTGCAGCATTATTTTGCCTTGGACTTTAAGTAGTCTCAACCAGTTTGTTTAGACAGATTCTTCTGTGGTCAGTGGCAGCAGACAGTCTGACCAAAAACAGAATAAAGATTCTTTTCAAAAACCTTTAGCAGGCATTTCCATAAAAGCTAATATCATAAAGGATATAGAGGCTATGTTAATGACAAAATTTTGTAAATGCACGCCTTGTTCCCATGCTCATGGAAGACAATGACAAAGCTCTCGTTAACCTTGGTCCTGAAGGATCAAGTTGTTTCCTCTCATAACCTCCAAGTGATTTGGTGAAAGCAATTGATCAATCCTGCCACAACCATGTGGGACAGATGTTAGTCTTGATGTTAGGGATGAATGCACCGAGGTGAAATAGTTAGTTCAGGTTCTGCAGTGATTACACACTGAAGGTGGACAGTATTCAGTTGCTGTCCTTGGAGCTAATCATAAAGAAATAAACTCCTTTGCTTGACAAGAGATTGTGAAAGACATCTTACAATCTTGGATCAACCAATATGGTGAATGAAACATATTTTGGCTTATGTATTATAGAAATACATTGGGTATGTTCAGTGTGCAAGCTCACTGGACACACAGTATTTGAACAACTTGCTCCTGTTTTGCCTAACCTGTCAATGTCTTTCAGTCCTCAGCTGTCATTTGGCCAACCCTCTCCCTCCAGTAACTTACAACTTTCAATTTCTAGTGTGCAGTTTTGTTCATCCAGAGGATATCTGCGTAGGTCCATCATGCAAGCAGCTGTTGTTGTGATCCTGTAAGAGGAGGGTGAAAAAAATAATGAGACTTGAAAACACATTTTACTTATTTGAGATGGCAAGACTTTCTATTGTGGCTTTTCTCTTTGTTTAAATGTAGAATGGTTCTGCACATGAATTCCTGGCATACAGGCTTCATAGTGCTTATAAAGCATGATTAAATAATTTATACAGCACAATATACTGGTTAATGTATAAAGCATCAGAGCATATGCTGAATATTGTAGAGCAGGATTTTGACTGAAAACCTTACGTGAAAAAGTGCTTGGAAGAACATTCAGTGATATTTCTACTTGGGCATCTTATTTTTAATGTTCTTAATTCAGACACCTTCAAATTGTTTTGTGAATGTTTTATTTATAACTTGTACTGCTGATAGCTTTCTTTTTTCATTTTATTGTCACTTACTGTTGTTTTAATTTTGTCTGATAGGTATGTGCACTTTCATCCATTCTGTGGAAATACTGGTGATATCTTATTCATTATCTTGATGGTTTCATAATCAGTTTATCATTAACTATGACAATTGAACATCACCTCATAATAGTGGCATGAGGCCATCAAACGCTTGTGAAATATAACATAGTATGGTGGCTACTTCATAAATGTTGAGAGTAACTGTGACTGCAGCCTGGATATTTCAGATCCTTGCTCCTTCTAGAGGGCACGTGAGTTGATACTTGGTCTCTAAAGGTATTCTCCATAGCCTAAGACTTTTTGCAAAGCAATTCCTCTCCCTTTGGTTTACCATAAATTACAGAGCATCTGAGCAAATACTCGCTGATAAACCTGTGACGTGTGAGAGGAAGGTTAAGAGACTTTGTGAGGATAGGGGTCAAATCTTAGATTTCTTAAAGGTCCCTTTAAGAGAGACAATCATATTGGTGTTTTCAAACTCACAAAAGGGAGTTATCATCTACATTTGCCTTTTGTTTTTTCTTTTTTTGGTGATAGATGGGTTCTTAAATGCTTACAAAACTTTTGGAGCTGTGAATGGGCAAACTTGATTTGTAATTTTATTGGTCTCTCTCTCCAACTATTTCTACCAGAGGAAGGCAGATAACCTCTTTTCTTGATGTGGATTTGGTTCTGTTGTTCCAGTTCCATGTTAATTAACACCACAGGAACACATCTTGAGGTTTACTTTTGATGTGCTGAAAGTCAAGCACACTTACATGCTGTATTGGGGTGATAATCCTTGCTGTCACCAAACTGACAGAATCAAAAGGGGAAAAAATGCCACATGCTTTATTATGTGACACACTTCAAAATATCCTAAGACTACAAAATTCACCTGTCATATCTAAGTATAAGGACTAGAAATGGCTGTAATGAGAACCCATCCATGAAACTATTCTGGAATACTGTGTAAAGTGCCATGAAAATGGTATACGTATACTTTTTCTCAGGCTGATTTTTGTCACATTAAATTGAAATGCATGTGTCTTAATGGGTTTTACATTTGTCATAAAAAAGGTCAAGGGCTTCAGCTGCGGTAGGACCTCATTTAGATTAGCCGTGTACCAACCACACCTTACTGACAGGCATTGAAAAGACATGCAGCACTAATTTGTCAACCGCCTGCTTAATAATGCTTAAGGTCATATGTAACAATATACTAACATTAGTCACAGTTAAATGCTTTTTTAATGAAGGTTTCACAGGGCAATGTTTTGTTCCCAATTAATAAACTGGCTTCTATGGTAATTTAGTTCACCTATATCAAGCAGATTTATTTATATACAGAAGTAGAAGTTGACACAGTGTTTCCTAAACCACTGCAGTGGTGCAACACACCCCTGCCCCATCCTCAGGCTGCTCTATGATTTCCGGAACTCCCATTAAGCTTTGGCTTTTGAGTAATGAGTTGAGTGGTGAATTGTACCTTGACCGTGCCAGAAGCTCTTGCTTGGCTAAAGTGGGGGTGACACTGCCCATACAAGGGACTTCTGTTCCCTGACCAAGGAGGGGAACGAGAGATAATCATCCATCCCCTGACAGCCTTGGAACCTTATTTACCTGAATTGTAGCCTGAGTGAAACAATACCAATGTTACTGAACTTTTTAAGAACTCCAGTTATTATCAACTTGGATTACAGCCAGGATGGAAAAAAACAAGCATTTTTTGACCCTATAAGCAGCTGTTCTAAGTGAGGCCCTTTGAGCTCTCCTGGAGTGCAGTGGGATGCAGCAGCACCTCTCTCTGAGAGGGAAGCTGTTCAGAGCTCACCAACTCTCAAATTTGCAATACTGGCAGAACCATCACTGAAACCTGATGGTGGGACAAGGACTCCACCCACATTCAAGGTTCAAGCCTCACCCATTGAGAAATGACAAGGCATTTGACCTTAGTATTTCACTGAACTCGGGGGAGTTTTTAACAGGTATACCTTAGTAAATTTATGTGTACACAGCTTTGTGTCTGTATGTGTTTGTGTGTGTGAAACACACTATAGCAAGTCTAATATTAATATTGCTTCTTGGATCTATAATTAAGTCACTGTGTTAACTGTAGCAAATTCTACTGAATCCTTTTATAAATGTTAAAATAGTCAATTATTAAGTGCAGCTAAAGTCTTCAGACTGAACTATATGGGATTGAGATAGGACTCAGCCTCACTTAGACTCTATCAGGAATTTAGAAAGCAAGGGGGCCCTCTCTGAAATTTGTGACTCGACAGGAGGGTCTCCATGTTCTCCAGGGAGATTCTTCTCCACCCTTACCCTTATACATCCCCTGTTTCTGAGTAAATCATTTTAAATTGATTCTAGTCCACCTTTCCTTTGCATGCTTCATCTATGTAGTAAGTAATACAGTAAACTTTTCCACAGCACTTTGTGAAGTTGTACTTTCATAAATTTACATTAAACCTGCTTTTGGTAATACATTTGACGGTGCTTCTTTGAGTGACCTTAACCACTCATTTGTGACAACCATGGTGTTTAAGTGGCCAGCTATTTCCTGATGGCCAGTGTATCTGTACTGCTGACTACTGCAGTTTTTACATAAGCTACATAAGTAAAAGCAATTAGTTATTTTCATAGCATCAATGCAAATTGAGAATGTGGTAGTAAATAATGCAATTGTTCATACCTGGAATTTAAATACTCTACATAATTTTTCCCCGGGACATGAATTTTGACAACTGTGTTGTCTTCTCACTATTTGTGCTGTTTTTGGCACACTGCATCGTTTGGTATTTCTGATCTCTAATATAACCCAAGAACAAAAGTTAATGTGTGGGCTACTAAGACACTGTACTGCTAATTGCAGGTGGGGTCTGGAAGTAAATGCTTGGATTATAGAGAAGAAAGTTAATAAACATCTAGTATTGGTTTCTGGTAGCAGTAAGTGATCCTTGAAACTAGCTGCTTGTAATTGCAGTAGGAGTTCTTCAGGATCCAGGAAAGTTCATTACCTGTAATTCATAAATCTGCTTTTCAAATATTTCTTTCTCCCTCATGATAGAGCTCAGCTGTGTAAAATTGTTAATGGAATTATGCTCTGGATAATCACAAAACTTGTTTAAGGAAATAAACTAAACCCAGATGCAATCATAGTAATTGTTATTTTGATGAAAAAATAAAATCTTTTATTATAAATACAGTAAAATCCCAGACCTGTTAGTGGTTGTACTCTCTCAAAGGAGAGAGTAAGTGATGGCTTGCACATCAGTTAAAAATAAAGACATTCAAATGCAGAATACAGGAGTGTAATGGCAGGAAGGGGAAGGCAATACCCTGAAGATACTGCAATAAATCTGTGTTCAAGAGGATTAGATCTGAAAGTCCCTCAAACAAGCGGTTTGTGGCAATGGCTGAATATCATGAGCTTCTGTAAGTGTTTAGGTGGAGGATTAATCCTACACTTGAAGCAGAGCTATTTATATTTCAAAGTAGGATATGTTTCTCCCAGGCTTTCCATTCTTAAAATATGTTTTAAATTCTGGTGTTGGGGCTAATGTATTTTCTTTATACAGTGACTTTGACCATACTGTCCTTACATTCTTTAGATTCATTTGGATACAAATGAAAAAAAATGGGATTATGCAAAGAAGGCAAGCAGTTTGGTAGAGATATATGATTACGTTACTTAATTTCATTCATGTCAGTGCTCAGACATTCTGGGATGGAATGAAGTCTGAACTGCCAACAGGCAAGATAAATAGCATTTGCATAAAAGCAAAATTAACTGATTTTTTTTTTTTTTCAAATTGTGGCTTGGGGTTCAAGACATTTGATCCACTACTTAGTTGTACTTTGATGCCTTACTCTCTGAATATCATAGTCTTACTGTAAAAGCAAGGTTTTTTTGGCTAAAAATAAAATTATATGAAAGAAAACACTGACATCCAGTATTTGCAAAACTGACTTCTTAATAATAAGTAATAAGTAATACTGTCAGAGATTTCCCTGCAGGGCAGCAGGTTTTGTAGGAACAAATGGTAAAGCTTAATATTCTGGGTTAAATCATCAATGAGCATTTAAAGTAAGTTCAGAATGAGTACAGGAAGTGGATTTATGGTTTAGTACTTAGAGCATTTCCTCAAAATGATGCCACAAACCCGATTCTCAATTCTTGGATAAGAAATAGAAGCAATATTTAAGACAGCCATAACAACTAAATGTGAAGATGATCAGAGCTAAACAATGCAAATTCTGTTGTGAAATGTTTCCTTCATTTGGAGGACAGGTATCAAATTTTAATATGTTTATTCTTTTTCTGTCAGTCAACAGAGCATAAATTATAAATGTATATGAAGTTATGAAGTGGGATGGACTAATTTTTTTCCATAAAAGCTAAATAAAATCTGCAAATCAAGTAAAGAATAAACAAGCTTCTCTTAACCACTGCAGAGCTGGGTTTCTAGTACATGCTGGAAGTAGACTTTCATATCCCAGGTAAAACACTGCTTTTATTAAATCAGTATAATTTAACTTCAGTGGTATCAGGAAACTTAATCCCCTAACAACTGTTTGACATCAGAACCTAGACC